ACCATACAACTTAGGTTGTTAAGCTTAACCTCACTATCTGTCTGCATATCAAACATCTTAGGCATAACATGGAACAGGTATTTTTCATCAAGTATTTATATGTTGAACTTTAAGTCCCTACAGAATATGATAAAATTAAAAAAAATTTAAGACCTTACACTTACTTAACAATTCTGCTTTATAGAAATTGTCCTATAATACTACAAATACAGAGAAGTCTATGTTGAAGATTATCCTCTTTAATAGCAAGAGACTGGAAACAAACTAAACGCCCATACAAAAAACACTAGTTAAATATGTTTTGATATATCCATGCCATGAAAAACTATAAAACCCTGAAACCACATGAAAGAATATGTTTTATCTGTCTATAATAATCTCAAACACTAAGTTATATTATTAAGAGAAGGAAAAAAGAATAGAAGGGATTTTATAGTACATCCTGATTCTACTTAAAAAGAAAGGGAAGTATACCCTTATTGATTATTTTACATAAGTAAAATAAATGTTTTGCAAGGCTATACCCAGAATAGTTACTAGGTGCCTCCTCGAGTAGGGCTAAGAGATTTATATGTTCTTTTGTAAATTTTTCATAAAAACTAGTTGCTTTTCAATACATAATATGGAAAAGACACAGGGAAAATCATTTCCTCACTGTTAGAATTCTAACAAAATATTACTGAAGGAGATAGAAACTTTAAAGAAAAATGCTCACAAAGAATATGGATTTCTTGCTAATTGACCTTTTGAGCCATTTAACATTATTATTATTATTATTATTATTATTGTTATTATTTTGTGGAAGCGGGGATTGAACTCAGACCCTTGTGCTTGCCAGGGAAGTGCTTATTCTACTGAGCCAGATCCCTGGCCCCAAGCCATTTAAACAGGAAAATTCACTTAGCTTCAGTGTCTGTTAAGAACATTCATAAAGTCAGGTAGAGTGACACACATCTGTAATCCCAGTCCTTGAGAGGCTGAGGCAGAAGGAGTGCAAGTTCGAACATAGCCTACACAACTTAGAGATACCCTGCCTCTAAATTTAAAACTTTAAAAAAAAAAAAAAAAAAGAGTGGAGCTGTAAGTATAGCTCACTGCAAGGGCACTAAGTTCAACTCCCCCCCCCACACACACACACATACTACTACAAAAATAATATTCATAAAATAAGTATCTGAATTTATTCTTCTGCCTAATTAAGTCTTGTCCAGAAGGCATAACTGATCATTCTTTGAGCACTTTGCCATGTGCCCATGATTCTAAACTACACTTTTCGTGAAAGGAGATTAACGCCGTCTGACTCTGGGGTGTCTTTTAAGGGCTTAGTTGTTACAGAGCACACAGAAATGGAATGCCCAAGACAGATTTCAGGCAGATAAAAATTGCAGTTAGCTGAAACCCAGCTAACCAGAATCCCATGGGAATCAGAAGCATAGTAGCAGTTGACTATGAGCCTCAGGGCCGGGGAAATAGCTCAGTAGAATAAGTGCTTCCCTGGTACGCGCAGGGACCTGAGTTCAGTCCCTAGTGAAAAGCAGTTATAAGTTATTTGGGGTTAATCAACCACTCTTTTTTTTTAAGTTTTTCTTGTGTGTGTGTGTGTGTGTGCGCGCAGGGTCTCACTACACAACTCGGACTCACAGTGATCCTCCTGATTTCTGCCTCCCTAGTGCTGGGATTACAGTCATGCACCACCACGCCCAGACTCCATCAATGGCTCAGTGCACCTGGGGGTGGGCCCAGCGCGGCATTTGGTACGAGGGAAATCAACCACTCTTTTAAAATTATTTTGTTTTAACCCCCAAACTGCCATAATCTTCTGGAAATGAGCCATCAATCAATAACATAATTTCAGAATAGTATTTGAAGGTAATTTTTCAGAAAAAAAAATATTCATTTACTATTTTTTTTCTTGTAAGTTATTCTACAGAAGGCAGTTGTTTAACAAAGTTTCTGGAAAGCTTCCACCTTACACAGAAGCATACATTATTGAAAAAGGAATTTTCTTAAGCTGATTGTATAAAGTAAATTTTATAATGTAGAATACACCACAGACTAGAAATGAGACATAATAAAAACCTTTCAGGAAAGGGAAAAACCTTACAGGCTTTGAGCACTATGGAGAAAAAATTCCTCAGAGCAGTGGAATGAATAAATTCTAAGTCTCTGTTTTTTCTCAGAGTACTTAGTGTAGGGACGGGCATACTATAGTAGTCTCTCAGTAAATGTTAACCTAATATACTGGATACTTTTAATAATTAACGAATCTTGAATGAAGAAAAAATAGGCTACTTCAGAGACATTTTTTCTCCTGGCTTCCCTTTCTAAGTTGTGTGAATCAGAAAAGAGCTGTTGGTAAAATTCCAAAAAAAAAGAGATTGTGGTTTGCTGATGGGGGCATGATTAATATCCACATGCAGTAGTCAATCCACTTCCCAGGCTTTTGGTAATCAAGACCCACTGTATAGTCAAATGCATATATCGTCCCAAAACAAGTAAGTTCTAACATAATTTTGTATTGCTAAAATCTACTAGAACTTATTTTTTAAAAAAATAAAAAATAAGAATTCCTACCCGAACAAGTTTTTCTGAATCCCCTCTCCATTTGCTGACAATGGTGGATGCAGAAATATTAAAGAAGGTTGTTTTGCACTCAGTGGCCACAGCTTTGGCCAGTAACGTCTTTCCTGTACCTAGGAAACACGGAGAGGCACTTAAGACTCCTTTTTCCTGCCTACAGACACAGGCCAGGCTCACACGGGGAGGAGGGAGTGGTTGCTCGGCTGCCATCCGCCCCAGGCCTGGAGTGAGACTGGCACAGGCCTCTCACCCTCCATGCGTACACGCCTACTACCACACAGAAACAGAAAGGTAACATTTACCTGGAGGGCCATAAAGCAGGAGACCTTTCCATGGGGAAAGAATTCCTGTAAACAGCTGCGGATACTATGGAAACAAAGAACAGCGATGAGCTTTGCTATCAATACATCAGCCCATGTGCCCTGAGCACAGCAAGCTAGCAAGGCTAGAATAAAGCACAACCTAGGTGAACTCACTACTTCTTCCTTAGCCCAAATTCTGCTCTTCTGCGTGTATTTTATTTATACTAATTACACAGCCACACTGGATACAAATGCCTAAAGGCCTGACTTCATGTCTGTGAGCTCTTAACAGAGTCATGTTTTGGGGTGCACATGGGGGTCAAGTCCTGGGGCACTCCACCTCCTGAGCCTTTTTTTCTCTTGAAATAGGTCCTAAGTTGCTAAGCGTCCTGTAGCAATTATCAAGAACCTCCCACAAGGGCCGAGGTGATAGCTCAGTGGTCTAAGCACCTTCCTAGGCAAGTGCAAGGACCTAGGTTCAATCTCCAGTACTGCATGCCATGCCAATACTGCCCTGGGTGCACCAAGCTGGCCACCAAGATGGGGTGTGGTGATGCACACCCATAATACCAGCACTGGGGAGGCTGAAACAGGAGGATCACTAGGAGTCCAAGCTGCATAGTGAGACCCTGTATCAAATACATAAAATTTAAAAAAGAAGCTTCCTCAAGATAAAAAATAATTTTTAAGGGCTGGAGATGTAATGCAGTGTGAAGACTTGGGTTTAATCCCTAGAGCCAGCACAAGAGAGAAAGATAGAGAGGGGGTAGAGGGAGGAGAGAGGACAGACAGGAGAGAGGGGAAAAGAGAGATGGAGAGAAAGGGAAGGCACTTAAAAGTTAGAGCAGGCCCTTTCTTGCTCTTTCTGGACACCCTGCATGAACAGAACAGGACTTGCCTGCTAGTGGATGAGAAGCCAAGGGGAGAACGACCTTAGGTGTCCTATGTATCCAAACTTTCCCTCCCACTCTGGCTGATACCCCAGCCAGACCAATAACACCATATGAAAAAGAGATGAGCCGGCCCAGCTCAATCCAGCCCAAATTGCCTACCCATAGAATGACGAATGAATAAGTGAGTGCTGTTTTAAAGCATTATTTTATGAGGTTATACAGCAACAACTATGTAATATGCTGACCTTCTCCTCACCCTGTGAACCAAAGATGGAGAGCACTGTTTTTCTGTTTTCTGCCTGTTTGTTGAGCCATGCAGAAATTTGTCAGGCATAAGTAGTGAGCACAGCATTCTGTCCACTACCTGGAAGGCTGCGTATTCTTCACAACCAGCCTCGATGTACAGGGCTGGGGATGAGAGAAGGTCTACAGAAACAGAGTCAAAGGCTCTCTCCTCACTCCTATTTCTACTAGTTTGGACCAATGTATAATAGCTGATAAATCCAATTTATGCAATAGAGTTTTGAGCAGTGACCTACCTTGAACCAATGTGAAGAATGGTTCTAAATGTTCTAGAATGAACTAGTGTTGATGCTCTAATGTTAACAAAATTTTGTAACACAGACAAAAAGTTAACTTGTGGACAAGAAGTCATCCTGTCTTTCCCTTTCTGATGGGCATGTGACATACAGCTTGTCCAGTGGACAGTGAACAGAAATAACCACTGAGAGGCTTCCCATGCTTACCCTGATAGGATACACAACTGCTTCTTTAACTAACTGCTTGGCAGCATCCAGTCCAATAATGTCATCCCATTTTATGTTTGGATTATGGAGATAAATGTCCTGCAATGCACATTTGATCATTTTCTTAAAATTAATGTTTTCCTTGACAATGGTAACAAACACAAGAACAGCAGAATACTTGACTTACAATAGGACAGAAAGTGCTAGTGATAAAAACTCTTTATATTAGATGTATGTATAGGTTATGTTTGGGGTTCATTTCATCAAAAGGATGGAGTGAAAGTATTCAAGATATTTCCAAAGATACCAGTGATGTAATACAGTATTTTCAAGAGAAGAGAAAAATTACCTAACAATGAACTTTACCTGTCTTCAGTCCATAGCAACTCATGCTGATTTATAGCCATAATCAAAGAAATTGAAGAATATGCCTTCTAATTTGAAGTTTCTACTGTGAAACATAGTTCCTTGCTGGAGTCTGGCTCCTCTTTTGCTCTTTGATCTGGCAAATACTTTCTTAATTTGTTGCATAAAAGAGATAATGCTTCTGTGAAACCAATTTCTCTCTTCTCCCCAGTGATCACTCCCTACCTCCAGCAGGAGCAATTGCTTCTGCAAAATTCAAGAAAGCCGACAACTGAACAAAAGTGCAGTTTCCCACTTATCACAGAGCCCTGTAGCAACTGTCTAGGGTAGTCCATTAAGGCAGCATTTACTGACAATTAATTTACACTTTCCAAGCTTCAGTTTCACAAGATGCCTCAGAACAGCCACTCGGGAGCCTTTCTCAGTAGGAGCCATTTCGGGCAAGTGATATCTAGAGTGTTACATCAAAAAATGAATGAATGAATGAATAAATGAATGAGTAAATGAATGAGTAAATAAATGCCCTCTTTCCAAAATTATTCTGAGGGACTACAAAAAAATCTAGAAACTATGTATTTA